ATTTTACAGACTAAACAATTAATAAATTAACTGAATAAATAATCAAAATATGAATTAATAATTAAAAGAATCATTATTTGTAGGTCTACTGTGGTACTAGAATGCTAACAGCCTAAATTAGGCTGTACTTTCCTAATGCACCAAACTAACAGCTCCAGCTGGTGTTTTCCCAGGGCATGTTGAGGCCTGCCCCCTGATTTCAGCAAGGAAATCAACCAACAGGTGCTCCTACAACCTAAACCTGTTGTTTCCCTTCCTTGTCCGATCTCTTCTCGTACTTTGCTTGGCCGTGATGCTGCTGTAGTTGATGTAGGTGAGGAGGGAGGAGAGGAGGCAGTGTCTGTCTATCAAAGGTGGGAGGAGGAAAGAAAGCTTTTGGCTGACTATGTAAACCACTAAATGGTGCTTAGTGATCTGAGGCTTTGCTTGCTTGCTTGCTTGCTTGGTTGTCTGGAAATATACTGAGCAACAGGTTCAGAGAGTGACAGTGTCGCTGACAAAGTGCCTTTGGGTGAGGCAGCACAATTGTGGAGCAGTTAGGTCACACAAGAAGTTTCAGGAAGTACGTGAATGTAAAAAAACATATGCAGCACTCACGTTTTCTTCCAGCTCAAAATGAACCTTCCTGTGGACCTCGGAGATTTCCATCAGCACTACACCTGGCACACAGAGAGTGGGAGAAAGACAAATGTTCAGGTTAATGTCAGAGAAAAGACAGGCAGTGATCTAATCGTCTGCTCTTGTTTGCTTTTTCTTTCAGTCTTTTCTGAACAGTAAAAAAAATACGCTATCTAAAGATACTGTGCAACACTGGCAACTGTGTATAATGACAATGAGCACAATGTATGCACTATTTAAACTGTATATGAATGAGTGTATGGCTTGCTACCTGCTACAGATTATGTTACAAAGGATTCCCTTAGGTTAGATGAAAGGAAAATAAATAGTGCCTGGACCAGAAAAACCTGACCACCTACTGCTCGCCTAATCAAAAAGAGCTCAGATGGCAGGCAGCCACAAATTATAACCTTCTGTCTTTGCATGTTGCTCACAAGAGCAATCAAATTAGGATTATGAAGCACAATTATTATGTGGAAAATTGTAATTAAATTGACCTCTCCGCTACAGTGCACAGCACACTGTCAGTGATTTAATGTCAATCTAAAATCTAAAATAAACATACTTGAATTCACAGTGTAACAAATAAAATACAAAAACAAACTTCACCTTTTCCACAAGACTGCATGGATATGACTACCTATAAAGCTTGTAAAAGATACAAATATAATTATAGTTGCCAAACACTTTTCAAGGGCCACTAATTTAATAAATAACAGCAAACAGTGTCATTGCTATGCAGCTTCATGTAAGAGCAGTAACTTTGAGCCAGATGGCCTTCACGCTGACTTGTGTCTGTTTCTAACATATTGTTTATGGCCCGGATAGTGCTGCTGACGGACTGAGAATTGTGCGATTGGCTGGTTAGGATCCCTTGACAAAACCATTTTTAACACCCAGCAGATTACTGGTAGAGATGAAGGAACAATGTGTGTGTTTGCAAAAATGTGTGCGAGGCAACTACTCTGATAACTTGGTCTTAGCACAGATGGAGGTCACTTTATTGTGAGAACTAGTGTAAGAAACTGCAGCAATGAAATGTGGCTACAACTTCAGGTCGTTCAAAAATGTTTATTATGTTTTAAATCTAAATAATTTGTAAGACTACGATTCAAATTATAGACCGTGTATAATATGTGTTGGGTATATTTTCTGTGTGCAGCATAGATGTAGGATACATGACAGATTTAAGGCTGATAATGGGATACATATAAAAGCAGAAGCACATCGTCAGAATGGAAACTTGACACTGCATGTTATGACTTTTTCCTGCACTGAGCTTTTCCCTTAGGCATTTATTTTCCATGTACAGAGAGTAAATGTCACGACCAAAAGTATTCTTCAGTAGCAAACAAGTACAGCTGCACTGTACACAGGGGTGTTAACAGTGATGCAACACTGAGACATTTTTTAATAACAAATTTTCCACTGTACAGATATAGCGGCTTCTGCTTCAGAGCACATGAACAGCTAATTTGTCTGTAACAAAGGGAAGACAGGGGCCTTCACAGAAAGTAGGCGCTGGCTCAGTGATTAAACAACACATAAGTCATTCAATATTTCCATATTTATTGAGGTTTGTAGATGTTGTAGACCAACACTGCAACAAATGCACAAAGCAGCCGTCTGCACAAACCCCCACAGAAAGGATTTCTAAAAATTAATAAAAAGGGAACGGACAGACAGTACTGTCCAATAATTAATTGGACAGTAATTATTTGAGTTCAAATCCAATAAATCAACCTAATATCTAAAAGTATATAATTCCATCAGAGGTGGTAACTCCAATGGAAAAAAAAAAATCTGCTCCCTTTTCTCAGCAGTGCTCTGACGTAAGCAAATCCCTCACAGATGTTCAATAGGCTGTCAGTCTGATCTATCACTATGACCTGTACATTCATCAGTAGGTAAACACGGCCCTTCCCCACTCTGTCTTTTTACACCGACTGCCCCGCCTTGCCTTACAGCAAGACTGGCAGTAAATCTGCCCTCTGACAGAGCAAAGAAGGGAAGGGAGCAACAGTAGCGACTGGAAGAGTGGAGAGAGGGGAAAGCGTGTTAAGGAGGTATATAATGAGGCAGGAAAAGATACAGTTAGTATTCAGTGTTGGAAAAAGCAAGAGACAGAAAAGACAGCAAATGAGATACTGAGAAGAGATTAAGAGGGTAGAGGCATATGACGGCAAAGAATACGAAAAATCCACCACATTAGTCCAAAAGGACGCTGGGTTACAAGAAAAACAGCCCAAGACTGAATGCCTGACACACCTGACCTTAGCCTGCTTATCTTACAATAATAACGTAATCTTGAAAATGTCACCGGGTGCGGTATAAAGTCAAATACCTGACAGACGGGATATTTGTAGGACAAAAAAAAGTTGTGAGTCATCAACATGTCACAATATCTAAATAATTGAATCAATTCAAATGTGTCATGTTACAGACTGTACACAAATGTCTCAGCTACAGTAACGTCACAGAAACCAACAGTCTTTTTCTGGCACTTCGAACTCATTTGTTTATTGTTGTCACGGTCTGTGCAAAACGTTGCCGGGCAACAGGTGTTCTCGATCGCGCAAGGTGTGAGGGCAAAAGTGTGTCATGATGTGGATAACACCACCAAGCGATCCACCGCCATTAGCTAACAAAGCCAAACCGACATAAACCCACACAATGCAGACGGGCTGCCCTGTTTATACAGGCTGTAAAAAGGGTCTGGGGTCGTGGCTGGACACGCTGTGCTTCACTATTACAAGGCTGATAGCTGTTACTCGAAAGCAAAAGGTAGCATCTGAGAGGTTGAATATCTAAAGCATAACCTTTTGCTTGGATGTTAGGAGTGTTTTGAGTCATAAAATACACAAATGTGAACCAGAAAAGAGGTTTAGGATGAGAGAAGATCATCAGAAACGTAGTTTAAGTCGCTTTTATTGCTCTTCTGTCTCTACAAAGAAAGACAGCACAACACCTATAGTAGTAGATGCATGCTTGTCCTAAGGGCACTGTAGTTCATATCAGTGTCACATATCGCTGTTTGAACAATACCACTTAGTGATTCGATTTGTCCCTTGCCTCTGGTTAGGTGTAAATTATGCAAGCAAACGTGTCATGTATAGGAGAGCAAGTGGAAAAAAATGTTCTTAGTCTTTCTTTTCTTCTATAATCCATGACGTATGATGGATGGGTCCCACTCTCTCTGTGTGTGTTCAGAGACTCAACCATGTCATTATAAATGCATTGTATGAACAATGATCACTTGATTGCAGCAGACATAATGTTAAAAAAAAGTGTTATTAAGCTCCATTATTGAGCCCTGCACGCTGTGGCTACTGTGGAGCAGAGATAAAGTAGAAGAAATAAAGTTAAAGAAAATACCTTGAAAGTAAAAACTTCCTACTTTGATTTTTGGTAAACAACATTTTGCTGGTAGCATGCAAAGCGGCCCACAGTTCCTCCACTGTTTTCTGACTGTGGGCAAAATAATCCTGGCGTCTGAGAGAGCCACCTGACACACCATGCAAACATGCTTGGATTATGTAAAGTGGGCCTGATGCCATTTGAACAGACCAGGACTATCAAAGGACGGTGTGTGTGTGAGTGTGTGTGCGTGTGTGTGTGCGTGTGTGTGTCTATGAAGCGTCTGCAAAGCCCTCGCTGCTGTAAAAGGACAAGACTGGATGAGATTCAATTCCCTGCCGACAACAAAATGCTGCATGGTCATGGTGTCTCACAGGCTGTTAAATACTCGTCAGATTGTTTTTGGCAACAGTTCTACTGTCCTTGTCAAAACCCTCTTAGAAAGCCAACAACATATTTTAGGTTCCAGCATTAGTAACACTTAGTTTCACCTCAAATAAAGTTATTAGATATAAAGACTGAATACAGCAAAGCCCACAACTCATGGTGTCCATACATCCTGGTCCTTCAGATCTTAATTCCTGCTCCTGGTCTGACCAGAGAAGGAAACAAAGTCAGATACCCGAGTGCTTGACTGAAACAACTGTTGACATTTGAACTCTGGCGGAGGAGGAGAAGGAGAAGGAGGAGGAGGAGGGAGACTAAAGGAATTAAAAGGAAGAAGGTAGGAGGACGAGGTGCACCGGTCCTCCAGTGCCTCTCGAGAGTATCTGGTTTCTGGTTGACTACGCGTCACTGAAGCTCAGGTTTCTGAAGTGGCAGCTTCACTACGTCCACTAGCAGGCTCAGAAACAAGACGCAGAGACCTTCTTATTCATTTCGAAAGACCTCATGTTTCCAGCAAGAAACTTCCTCCTCATCTCAGTAGGTTTATATAGTATAAGTGCCATCGGTTGGACACCCTGGCTGGTTATAGGGATGTGTACTACAGAATCCAGTTACAATGCATTTAGGATTGTAATGCTTGGTTCATTAGATAAGATGGTTGTTTGTAGTGCGTATTTAATCACCCCCTGCTCTACATAATCCCTCATAATGACTCAGACTAAAGTGATCCGTCATGACCAGAGTGCCTCTCCCCGTCGCCGTCTGTCTCTCTCATACAGGGATTAGTGGATGCTGGAGTGTATCTACAGGTCAGGAGTGAGTGAGACTCAGTCGGGACATCATGACTTCACCCCACATAAAATGGTTTTGTCTATGTCATCCCTAGAATTTATCATTTCTAGTCTTTATTTTTCCCACTTTGAATATTAAAACAGGTGATAGCCCGACCGGGTAACAACACTGATAATAATCAGCAGTTTGTTTGCGTCCCTCCCCTCATTTCCTCTTCACTGAAGCATATTCCATACTCGATTTACTGTATACTCTTACAGCAGGAACCAACAACAACAACGTTTACAACTTTAAATACAGTTCAGTTCAGCAATTCAGTTCAAACTGAAGCTAAAGTGCTTCACCTTCACAATGAGTATATTTTATAAGCTACGGATGACAAACTAAAGTATTTCTTTCATGCGATTATGTTTACGTTTAGTACAAAATATGATCAGAGTATCTTAAAATACAGTAGACACAAATACAGGCACATCCATAACCTGATATACTGAAGTGATAAACCACCCAAAATCAATATTTGGATTTTGTTTAACAATCAAGAACTTGTAGATTTCGGCGCAGCTGGCAGTTAAACATTTATGGAGAAGAAGAAGCTTTAGCAATGGTTGAAAGAACCAAAAAATTAATTAAAACTTGTCACTCCTGCAGCATAATTCATTTCTCAGTTGTCCATATTCTCATATGCTGCAAACACTCAAGTCTTTGCAACAAAAACAATGACTGTTTCCAACATGTTGAACAGATGGGACAGATGGAGGGATGGAAAGCTGAGATGTGGATTTATTATCATACTATTTTGCATAATAAAAAGTTAGAATTCATTGTAGATAACATGACCAGCCGCGGCTCTTCGTTAAGGTGAAAACTTTTACGGCCAAACTTTCAGTCTACACAAGGTGAATGTTTCATATTCTGGGTGGTATATCACTTTAAGTGTGTCAGGGAATTGACACCAATACAACAGCAGGCTCGTCCCATTGTGCTGCTGAATTTAATTAGCAGTTTTGCTGCTAATCAGCAGGGGAGCTGAGAGACTTACAGCGGTTTAATCAAAGTGTGTCACTAGTGACAATGTGTTAGGATGCCAGACATCTTTGGACTGCAAATGAGCTTGTGGGAACCGAAGCCTGGGGAGTTGGTTAGAAACAAACAGTGAACCAAACAAACCCTCCGCCACAGTGTATTTCTTAGCTTAAAACACGCACAGTAGTACACCAATACAAGCATCAAGCTGGCATTAATCAAAGTAAAACTGCTGCTTTTCCCTGGTTTGCGTGCCTCAACGATAATGGGAAGATTTGACATCACAAATGTTTACTCATTCTTCTTGTTTACCTTCTTTTATAAAAAAAAGTACAACAATTTGTTCAAATTCAGCAGCAATGCCTTTAACTGAAGACCCACAAGCATGTTTTTCATGGATTCTCCACTGTATATCAAATATTTGAATCTTTATGAGACTCACTGCAGATTTCTCTGTCCAGGAAGAAAAATATTTTTTTCTCTATGGCCAGGTTTGGCCACCAGGACTTTTGGGAAATGGATTTACTTGCATGTTGAGTTCAAGCTGGCTGACTTTTTAACCAGTGACTGAAGGTGTATTTATGTTACCTTACATCATCTTACATTTATTACTATTTACCTCATTGATCTTTTCCTATTGATTGCGAGGCACTGCCATAAAAACACTACAATTTAAAATATAAACATCCAGACAATGTCTTCCATTAACTTCTTCAGCTTATATTGATAAACTCCACATATACACTGTATCAAGGCAACCCTGGGAATCAACAATGCTCCTGAGAACCAAGTGAGATAAACAACTATTTCAGGAAAACAGGAGTTCTCTCCACAGTCTGCAGATCTTCCCCCAGTTTATCCCAGTAGAGAGCCAGAGGACAGGGCAACATGGAAACTTACCTAATTCTCTGGAGACAGGAGACACTGCAGCACTCTCCCCAATCTTAGACATTGCATCAAAATACAACTTTCCCGCCAGGGTCATTGCTGGGAAAATGATAAAATAATCATTAATGATTGTCAGAATAGTTATAGACTCCCTAATACTTGTTGAAGACCTCTGAACAACCAAAATATTCTCTAAAAAAAAAAAGGTACTAAAATGTACTTTTCCGGCCACCCTTCAACCTTCTAGTTACAAGCGTCTGTATTTCAAAATTATAAGTTATAATGAATGTTTATTCAGGTAGTAAATAAACGCTTACCAGCCACTGATTTCTCATAGTTCTTGCCCAGGTTGACCAGATTCCTCAGTCCCGGGTTGAACTGTTCCATTACACTCTGAGTGGGTGGAGACAAAGGGAGAGACAGTTAGTCATAATCTCATTCAAGGTTTTAATGGTTATGCGGTTTCAAACACTACTGAGTTAACAGCTGGGTGACTGTCCACCTGAATGAGTGACATCAGATGTAAATAAGGTGGGCGAAGCGTGAAATACACGGCCGTGTTAAACCCTGTTGACCATTTATTAACAGGAGCTGTGAACTACGACCTGCAGGCAAAAAAATCACCTGTATGCCATACAGAGGGTCTTACATGTTCCATGGAAAATGACACAGACACTGAAGAATGAGACAACGCTGCAAAAAGAAAGGAAAAGAGGAGGGGGGGGGGTCCTTGATCAATGTCACAGAGTGGAACTATCATCCGTAATCATGTCTGAGACTCAGGACTTATCTCTGTAATTATGTAAATTATTGAGCCTCTCTTTGTGATTACTGTGAGAGGATAAGGTCTTAGCTTAGGTTCACACCCAAGCCCAGAATGCAGGAAATTATACAAATTAAATGATACAAGTAAACAACATTAAAATAACACATGGCAAACAATCACACGTGTCTCTTTCATGTATCTAATAGTCATCACAAACCTCTGCTTCAGACCTTTAAGCCCAGAACATGTAAGCTACAAATACTGCCCATGTGATGTTTGTATTAAACAATGACATCTCAGATCCTCTCATTTTAATAATACATGAAATATATACCTGAATTGGAATCTTTGGGTAAGAAAGACAGCACAACCTCGCCCTAATTTGCCGCTCTGTTCATATTCTGGGAAACCCAGGGTACTGTTGATTATAGCTGCGAGCGGGAGGCGAGAGCTGCCAAGGAGCTTGCTGTATAATCTTACCACACAACACACACAGCCAGCTAAATTATTAAACCTGGAGTCTTTTTCCTGCATTTCATCACACCAAGGAGCTGTGGGGGCTGTCCCGAGAGAAGGCCAACGGACAAAAGCTATTCAAGAAGGATAAATGCTTGTGAGAAAAAGCAGTAGGTCTCTTTTTCCCCCCCTCCTGCAGCCTCTTTATACCCACTTACCTTCACTTTGACACCTGTGGAGCGCAGCATGCAGACCATGCTACACAAGCGTGGTAAGTTAAAACTTTTGGTGGGACACTTTTTAACTGGTTAGAAGTCTCTTTTAACCCAACTGGAATCACATGGTGCTCCATATGAGCGGTCATTAAAACTGTTTGGAAGGACACTTTCCGCCCCACTAGCCAACATCAGCAAAGTAACAGAAATTCCAATTTCAAAGCACCCACTTATCTTTAGGAAATAAATTCAACTTAATTGCTGGAAGGCATAGATGTCACAGTACACTTAAGAGCAGCTCAAATGATGCTGATCAGCCGGGGCAGCACTTTAATGAGGAAATGGCAGTCCTAGGGTGGGGCTATTTTCTTCAAAACCAGTGATCCAAACTCACTAATAGTCACTTACTGGCTCTCAGAAAAAGAAGAAGAAAAAAAAAACCTCTGCACTCCAAGTAAAAACTGTTTCAACACTGTATTTAACTGATGAAGAAGAGGTTAAATTGAGTTTAGAGGCTGTACTGGGGGAGCCCTCAAAACACTTAAATGTTGTTAAATGTTAAAAAAAAAAAAAATTACAGTGTTGACATGTATTTATAACACTCCATGTTATCATAATAACATTAGCCTATACATTATGAGCCAATATTAACTGAGTCCAGGTTGACTTCTACCTTCAGTCCATCTTAAAAACACCTGTTAGTCGTCGTTCAGCCGGTAAAAGTCACTGGAAGTTTAACTAGAGCAGGTAACTGTTTCAGTAGTGGACACATGGATGTATGGAGGGGCTTTTTTTTTGTCTTCCCTCCTTTGTCGTGTCGTGGTCGCACCTGTTGTATTCACACCAGCACTCACCTTGTATGTACTTTCAGTTAGCTTGTACACCTCCTCCGCGCCCCTCGACATGGTTAACGATAAATAAATCCCTCGCGACCAACAAAAAGAAAAAACACACACAAAAAAACAACGCCAACCAAAAAGGTCCAAGAACGAGTGAGTCTGTGTGTGGAGGGGGGAAAGTGACCAAACCTACGGGCACATTAAATTCCTCATAGCCAGCAGGAGACGCAAGACGCACACATACCAACAAAAAAAGAAAAAAAGAAGATACAAGTGTGTCGTTAGAGGAAGAAACAGAGGAGAGTGAGTCTGCTGCTGCTGCTGCTGCGTGTGAGCGCAGGAAAAAGCTGAGCTGTCAAACTTGTTGTAGGTGGTTAGTTGAGAGAAGGGGAGGAGGCCTGTGGAGGTAGGGAAAGGTGGACAGGTGTCAAGCCAGCCGAAGTAAAAAGTTAAACCACTTTTCCGGTTGGCTACTTTCAAATTAAACCTTCTGTTTGTTTGTTTTTTTGTTTTTTTTAATTAAATCACTGACCATAATGTGTTGCAACCTTCTGAGGGAAATGTGTGACAGCTGGATATGTTAATATTTCATAGTAAAGCCTTAAAGTAAAAGTTTAAGGTGTTTTGGCCCTAAAGGAACAAATGTACAACTTATGAGAACATTTTACCTCTATTATTATTATCTATCTACTACAGAATTAGTGTACTTACACATATACTTCCCCACATTGTGTTGCTCTCGTTGTGCAGAAATAGACATAGATCTAAAAACAACAAAGCTTAACAAAGGTAAATGTAAACATTTAACTAATAATCTTAGTTAATTAAACTCAAAATCTTGATGTTTCTTTTTTATGCTTTTATTTTGAAGGCTTTGTTCCAGTATTTTTCTGGATACTTCCGTCTGGCTTGACATTTGCTGCAGGCAGGTATAAGGTGGACAACAGACTGAATACTGGAGACGGGCGCTCCCTGGAGGCAACTAATCCATAATACAATGAAAAAACACACCACACATTCTGCACACACACACACACACACCCTCATGTGGTTTTAGTACTATGGTAAAGGTTGAGGGTTTGTCTTCTTTTTTAAGAGTTTTCTTTCTATTCCTTAATTTCTTCCTTGTTTTTGTTGCCCCTGGTTCAAGTTTATGGAGCTTTGTGTGAGTGAACATCTTCAAATAGTACATATGTACATGTTTCTATATTGCCAAGATATGCCACAACCTTACAGGGATAAATTAGAAAAATTAAAGAATCAATAACATGCCTGGTGCAGAAGTAGCTCTAGTGAAAGTTAAATAACATACACCAACTGCTCTGGGTACAGGATTCGTTTGCATTTGTATTTTCACCATGTAGAACATTTATTTCTCACATTAGTTTTAACATGGTAGCTCCATCTTTGAAATGGCACATAATGGTGTTGAGGAAGTTTCGAGATCTACCACTAGATGTCCCTCATGGTCAGCTGATTTTCTTTCAGGCTGAAAGAAGTTTTGAGACAAAAAAAACATGTGTATGACATTCATTTATTTATAAATGTAAATACCTAGTAAACTATGTTTTGCTGTTCCAATGTTAAGTAGTATTTTTCGTATTATATGACAACCTGACTAATAAATGATCAGTACAACCTCTCATATAGGCTATGGACCTTTTGTAGTATTTGGACATCTTGCCAACAAATCAAACAAAGCAATGGCAAATATCACGAGTATCACTTTGGAGAGCAAATATGCAGAGCCTTTGGCTTGTAAATGTCATCTGATGTTAAAACTATGGAAAGCTCCCTGCAGCAATGGGGAGCTACAAAAGGAGCTGAATGTAAAATGAGATTGTGCCCTCAGGCTCTGAACGCATACCGCTGCTTTCAGCCCTCAAAATGCTGTAAGGTGACACATACAACGTAATTAGTCTCCAAAGCCACTATGTGAGGGTATTCTATTTTTCACTCCCTTGTTGTTATCTCCTGCATCACAGCCATCCTGACAACCTCCCACTGAGTTATGTTCCTGTAGGCAGGAATCAATACTAAAAGAATATAGTGCTAAATAAAGCAATATGAGGGTCAATTATAACCAGTCACTAACATTTCTGAAGGGCTGAAAAGTAACTGCAGACTTTCACTAAGTTCTGTGTGCTCAAGGACAGATGTGAGGTAATGTGCTTCTAATGTGCTTCATACATAAAGCTCCATCTATTTCAAAGAAAAGATTCAACAAAGTTTAAATTGGAAATTGCAATGGAGAGTGAGAAAAATGAGACAACTTTAAAGGACCAGAGTGTAGGAGTGTGTCAGTCAGCCAGTGTTTAGTTTGTCCATTCAGGGCTACTGTAGAAACATGATGGTCCAACATGGCGGCCTCTGTAGATAAAAATAGCTAATTGTAAGATAACGAAAACACAATTCTTATACGATTCTTATATTCAGGTGATTATACACTAATGAAAACAATCCTGTAAATATTATATTCAATTTCTGCCGATAGTTTCTCTCCTGACTTTTAATAGGAAACAGCTGGTTTATACTTATATTTATTATACAGCTGCTGAAAGATAGTGAGAGTTATAATAATAGGATATCATTTCAAATGAAAAGGATCTTCAAGTACACTTGGCCTAAGTAAGTCGGCTATTGATGTATGTTCACAAAGTCAAAGCCTGACAGAGAATCCTTTTTATATTGGACATCTAATCTATCCAGAGTTGACCTGACCCATCGGAAAAATCAGTACACCCAGACACCAGAGCGTGCTGCAAGGAAATAGACTTAAAAACCATACAAGGAACTTTCATTTTGTGTTGATTCTGGAGGCCCCTGTGCATAAAGGCGGTAGTGTTTCCACCACCTCTCGTCTGATTTCAAAGGATATCCAACCAGGCATTAAGAATAACTATATAGAAATATCCAGTCTTCTTGCTGATGATCTCCTGTGCTTATGTAGGTCATATAGAGGCACCAATATTAAACTGAGGCTGTTTCATAACCAGTTAAAAACTCCTTGTGGTATGTTTAATAACACCCCATCTCCCATCATCCAACTTTTTTACTTCATCAGTGATTGTGTCAACTAATCATAAAGCCTGTCAAACTATGAAGAAACTGATATTATTACTGCCAGCTGGGGACGAAGAAGAGAAAGAGAAAATAAAAATGTTGAAGCACGAAGTAAAAGCATAGTCCTTTGACTAACAGAATCTACTTATAATGGTTCAGTCGTGTTGTACTTTGTGTCATTGCTGTTGAGAGTGGTAAATGTAAAGATTATAAAACATTACATCTGCTCAAGTTCTGGATGTACTCTCTGCCAGTGTTGTCCAAACTATTTGTGATCTCTCATTCATTGCCTCTGTTGTGCATGTCCTCTCAAGGACAGACTCCCATCCATTGTGACGGAATTGCTAAGTCCACAAGACATTCAAAATACAGCCTGCTTATGCTGTGCCAGCAAGGCCAGCTCCTTTTCAGACCTGCCATATTTTTCATTTCACAGAAGCGGTGGGTAGACAATGGAGATGGCTTAAGAATTCGCTTTTCGTCCTTGAAAGATTTTACACAATTCTTTTGCAATTTACAACCCAGCATGTCTAATCAGCAGAAGCGTGTAAGAGAATAGTTTGCGTTCTCTGAAACTCTTTGTTTAATTTTGTTTTTATTGACGTCATTTATACTGTTTCTAAAAAAAAAGTGCATGGTTGGAATAGAACCAAGGAAGACAGAGATACAAAACTCCTCATTATACTCATCCATTTTGACCAACACCAGAGCCCAGTGTACAAGAAGACTATTATTTCCTGACTGAGCTGAGACGCTGGAGCTCATTACTTTCACCAAGCAAGATCATAAATCTAGCCTTAATCTACTGGGCAAACCGAAGACCTAAACCCAAACAACTGATTCTCGTATATGACATTATTTTGTAGTAACAGCTTGACCAGAAAGCAGAACAACTGTTACCACGGTGCATTTATCAGAAAAACGACATAATATTCAAGCGCCTAAGTGACAGAGTAGATGCAAATTATCCATTAGATGAGCAGCCGTCTTCAGCTTCACAGTGTTCATGGTAAAAATCATCAGTAAACTCCCCGCGCTGAGCTTTGACAGTCTCATCATGATGGATACAGAAACAGGGATTTTAGCAGCTTTTGGGTTGCACTGCACCAAGTTATTCCCAGAAACATTTTCCAAATTGAGGCAGGCATAAATCTCAGTCTAAAATAAAACTTGAATAGATGATTTACTGGTGCCTGGAGGAGGCTGGAAGTACTTGAGTAAGAGAAAAAAAACAACTTGAAAATAGATTTTTAAATGAATGGATTTAAGAGGGTCAAAACTATTTCATTCTGATTTAAAACTTTATTTTAAAGAGGCTGCAGACAGACAAAATGTCCATTTTGTCATCCCTCAGTGGGAGAGGCATATTTCTAAACTCATTCTTATTCTAAAGTGATGAGAACAAAGGTCTGAATTTTTATTCTTTGAGAAGAGTGGCTGCTTCTTGAAACCGCTGAGTCATCTGTTCAGGTATTCTACAACATTATACTGACGAAGGCAGGGCTGATTTAATGCACAGCAACAAGCGAATAAGTAACAGGAAGATTCTTGTAAAAGTTTCATATCACACTTTTTGCCATTTTATTTTACACTCATGTCCAATAACACACTCTTTCAAAGGTGAGCTAGACATTTAATAACTAATCACTCTCAGGACCCAGAGCCAGGTCTGTGTTGACCTTGTAAATGGGTAAAATAAATCAGGAAAGAACCTCCAGTGATGGAGGTGGAAATAGTTTTACTGGACTTTGGAAATGACTGTACACACACACACACACACACACACACACACCCACACACAAAACACACAAAAGTAAACAGGCCCGGGCACCCCGAGGGTACGCAGTAGCGAGCGTTTGCTCCTGATGATATTGTGGTCAGCAGTGTGTGAAAATTTAATAACAGTTGATGTCAGGCGCTACATCAGCCGTGTCGGGTAAAACTGCCATGTATGAGCTCTCCATGCTTCAGTGACACCACAAAACATTTACAAACAGTAAACAGAGAAGCCATGATTCCTGTATCAACAATAACTGGTCTTTTTATCCATCAGAGGCCTGGTTTCTTGTGCTTTCGTCAGAGGCCACTGAGCATTTTTACAGTAGATTTTTTACAACTGGAATCTGGACAAATAGCTGAGGGTCGTCCTGTTTAGAGCTGAAAATGTAGGTCAGGATGCAGTGTGCTTGACTGTAATCAGTAAAAAGTCATAGAGAGTTTGTCACCTTTCCTTCACCTGCAGTTGTAGCAACCTTATTGGTGCAATTGTTAGTGTTATTTTTCAAAATGCCACAGATCGCAAATTTGTCAAAAACCTTTGTCCTCAGGA